TTCTGTGAAGAAGGTCATTGGTAGCTTGATGGGGATAGCATTGAATCTCTAAATTACTTTTAAGCTTCATAAGTGAAGGAGAAATAAAATCCTTTATGGACAAGCAGTTACCAAGAGACTTCGTCACCACCAGACATGCCTTACAAGAGCTCCTGAAAGAAACACTAAACATGGAAAGGAATGTACCAACCACTGCAAAAGCACACCAAATGGCAAAGACCAAAATTGGAGTGAAGAAACTGAGTCAACTAATGGGCAAGGAAACCAGCCAGTAACAAAATGGCAGGATCAAATTCACACATAACAATATTAACTTTGAATGTAAATGGCCTAAATGCGCCAATCAAAAGACACAGACTGGCAAACTGGATAAAAAGTCAAAACCCATCAGTGTGCTGTATTCAGGAAACCCATCTCACTTACAAAGATACACATACACTCAAAATAAATGGATGGAAGAAGATTTATCAAGCAAATGGAGTTGCAATCCTAGTCTCTGATAAAACGGACTTCAAACCAACAAAGATCGAAAGAGACAAAGAAGGGCATTACATAATGGTAAAAGGATCAATCCAACAAGAAGAGCTAACTATCCTAGATATATGAGCACCCAACACAGGAGTGCTCAGATACATAAAGCAAGTTCTTTACGTTTTCTTTTTAAAAATTGTCCTCAGAATCATTTGACTGTGTCTGCTGTGATTCATTACTGCTCACACTGCTCAGACTGGCTGTGTGGTCAGCCTCCTTTGATGCTAAAATGGTGTTCTCCGTTGCTTAGCCCCTTTTCCCTAATTGGTATGGGAGGAAATCAGCCAGGAGGCGTGGGCTGAGTCAGAAACATGAAAAGGAAGAGGCAGGTGGGAGCCACAGAAGGGACTAAAACAGCAGAAGCGGCACAGACAGAAAGGCCTTCGAAGCCGATCTTCCCCAACTGCTGGTCTCCAGCATTCTCCCTGCCTCGGCTTCCCCACGTCCTGTGACTTCAGGCATTGAATTGATCGTTGATTGATGAAAATCAACATTAAAGCAAGTGACATTTCTTTCACCGTGTTTTTCTTTAGTTGGTTGTAATAGTTGTATAGGTGTAGTGCCCTCATTTTGGAAACAGAGATTCGGGCACATGGAAGTGTACATGAAAAGGAGAATAAAGAGGCTGACAGCTGCTGCCCTCGTCCATGCTCTGGTGCGTGGTTTTCATGAAGCTTCCTGTGTGCAAGCTGTCACACGCACCTCCTCACACATACTTCTTTCATAATTCAGGTCATTGTATGTAATTTTTTGGGGCAATTATAGAGTAAGCACCTTGTCCAGCCAACAAATGAAGCCCCATAGGCTCCCCATGACTAGTCGTGCCAGGCTGTGCATCACAGACAGGGTCTGGGCATGAAGTGCTGGTGGCTGCTCTGTGATCTCACCATGTGGTGTGATCAGGGAGTGTTGGGGTCACCACCTCCAGGGGTCTGCCCTACAGACCCTGACTCAGTGATGGATGAATAAAGTACGCTGACACACAGAGATTATGCTTTGCCAGTCTGGCTGAGGGTCTGTGGCAGTTCACAGGCTCCCTGGAGAGTGCTGTAAAGAATTGTGACCACTGGCCCTCCCCAGCCAGCAAGACTCACATTTATTTAGTAAAGTTTAATTGACAAAGGCTTGAGTCAATGTCACTAGACGTTAAAGATCAAAGGACAGGTTCTGAGCCCTAAAGCAAATACCATTACAGGATAATATCCCTGGTTGACCCCACCCCCCCAAGGGCAATCCAGCTCAAAAGTTAAGACCACATGAGTAAACAAGATAGCTAGGTAAACTACTCACATTCCTTTGTATCTGAGCCCTAATCTTTCTGACTCCTGCAAAGAGACTCTGGCTGCCTTCACCCAAGAACTATAGAAAAACCCTTACGCCTTCCAAAAGGGTTTCAGACTGTATTCTACAACTTTCTCTAGTATTTTTCTCTTAATATTTTTGCTACCACCCTGAGTGAATTCCCACAAGGGAAGTAATGAGTCTCTTCTTTTCTCTTTTAGACAGATTTCACAGGAGGATAAAAATTGGGAGACCAATATCCAGGAACTACAAAAAAAGGTATCCAGCTTCTTTTTCCTCAGGGATTTCTGATTCACTTCTCCAAGAAGAGAGTGAGTGATGCCTTTTCCTTCCCTCACGTGACTGAAAGCCATTTCTTTTTTTATTTCTGTGGTTGTACACAAGACATATGTCTATGAGCGAATGGGGAAAAATGTTTCCAGACACAGCAAGCTGATTTTCTCAGGAAGTGGGAAGCGAGCATCTTCACAGGACCTTTCCTTTTCATGCACCTTGCAGGGCCATCCTCTGAGCGGGTGTCCCTGACCACCAGCCCTTTCCTGGCCCTGAAGGGCAGGCCCCAGGCTCACACTCTGCAGAGGGGAGACGGGCAAGGTGTGCTGCATGGAATGAAGCAGCTTTAGGACAGACAGGATGCGTGAGTGTCCTGCCAGCGGCTCGGACTTCTCGGGGCAGAGCTTGTTTTGTTTTGTTTTTGGCTCATTCTTCTGTGGGGTGGACTTTCTCAGCCCATTTGTGAACACAGAGGGCCCCTTCCCAGTTGAGAGAGCTCTGCTCAAGACCTGCTAGGAGTCGTTTGCATCTCAGTGACATTTCAAATCCATGCAGTTTATTTTCTAGGGAGAGATGGATTACCCGCTCTGATTGTGATGGGCACAGTCTCCAGGTGTCAGGTGTCTCCTAACGGGGCTGCAGTGCACCTCACATCTATTGTATTTGTTTTCCATAAAGATTTTGAATGCAGTCTGATGAGGGGCCTCAGTGCCTTCACTCCGTCCCATGTAGAGGGTCAGGGTTAGAAAAGAAAGGTGTATCTGTGATGCTCTTGTGGACCCCAGGCTCACACAGATCGTGCCTGCCCTGCTAGACCGTGCTGTTTTAGTCATGAGTTGGAGAGGGATTGTGTGCCTCTGTGTGCACCTGGACAAGGACTGTGGTGAGATGAAGTGGACAGGCAAGGCTTGGCAGCATCCCTTTATCATAGCTAAGAATTCCTACAGAAATGCCTTATCCAGGAGTCACGTATATGTATGTACACACACACACACACACACACACACACGCACACACACGCATACCATGTAATACTACCCAGCCACAAAAAGGAATGAAATAGTGGCATTCACAGCAGCCTGGATGGAGCTGGAGATCAGTGAAGTAACTCAGGAATGGAAAACCAAATATTGTATGTTCTCACTTATGAGTGGGAGCTGAGCTACAAGCACGCAAAGGCATGAGAATAATGCAGTGGGCCTTGGGGACTTGGGGGGATACGAGACTACACATCGGGTACTGTGTACACTGCTCAGGCTGTGGCAGCACCAAAGTCTCAGAAATCACCAGTGGAGAACTTACCTGTGTAACCAGAGACCACCTGTCTCCCTGAACCTATTGAAATAAAAACAGAAAAATGACCTCAGGTATCCAGAAGGAGCAAATGTGAATGACACTCCCAAAAAGCTTCCACTTCCATGAGCTGCAGGATGCTGGAACGCTCTTTGACCTGCCTGCTCTTCCACCTCCGACCCTTGAACTGCCTGTGGCAATAGCCACTTTCTGCATTTGCTGTGGCTCAGGAAGGCTTGCAGGGCCTCCCTCGGGCCTGGTGAGAACCCGCATCCCTCGCCTGTGAGCATTTCAATCTTTTCCCTGCCATGCTCGTTTGGGCCTAATTCTTCAGCCCAGAATCATGTAGGAAAATGGACGTTCCCCAGAGGGTCGAAGGGGAGGATGAGAGGAGGCTGGTGAGCCCCGAGCCTTTGCAGTGGGCAGGGAGGGGCAGATGCTCACTGGTGGCCCCGCTGCACATGGAGGAGGGGCTCTGCTGAGCTGCTGTGACACAGAGGGGCTTGCATGTGTTTCTGATGGCAGCAGCTTTACCTATGAGACCAGAGGAAGCAAGAAAGAGAAATCTCTCTGTAGCTGTAGCTCTCCCTCTGTGTGTCTGTATCTATATGTCTGTATCTGTTAAAATCCAGATAGCTAGAAATTGCTGTGATGATAGATATCTACATCCACTGATATCTGCGAAGCTACAGACATCCGTCGTCATTGCCATCCACATCTGTCCACCTAGACAGATTAGACAATTGGGTAGACAGGTGTGCTACTGGGACTAGACTCAAGAAGGGACCCGGCGCTTGCCAGGCACAGTGGCTCACACCTGTAATCCCAGTACTTTTGAGAGGCAGAGCTGGACATGTTGCTTGAGCCCAGGAGTTCAAGACCAGGCTGGGCAACATGGTGAAATCCCATCTCTACTAAACATACAAAAACTAGCTGGGTGTGGTGGTGTAGACCTGTAGTCCTAGCTACTCAGGCAGCTGAGGTAGGAGGATCACCTGAGCCCAGGAGTTCAAGAGCAGGCTGGGCAACATGGTGAAATCCCATCTCTACTAAACATACAAAAACTAGCTGGGTGTGGTGGTGTAGACCTGTAGTCCTAGCTACGCAGGCAGCTGAGGTAGGAGGATCACCTGAGCCCAGGAGGCGGAGGTTGCAGTGAGCTGAGACTGTGCCAGTGCACTCCAGCCTGAGTGACAGAGCAAGACTCTTGTCTCCAAAAAAGGAAAGGACCTGGCACAGTTGTCCTTTCACACAGTGGGCTGCGATTCACAGGGCAATTTGGTCAACAGGCCAGGCCAGCCAGGTGCCCCTCTGCGTGTGCTCCGCTGCCCGGCCCCATGCAGCTATGGCCTGTGGGGCACAGCACCCTTAGGGCCTCATAGGGAGAGCCCTGTCTTCTGCTGTCTCCGAGGTTTATGGAGGCCTTGCAGAGGGTAAGGTGCCTCAGAGCCTGCCCTCCCCCTGCCCTCTCTGATTCCTGTGGGTGTCATCCCAGTGATAAGAGCACACCCCCTGCATTCCAAGGGCCTCTTGCATGTTACATGAAGAGCACGGCCAGAGGCTTACCTGGGAGTCACAGTTCTGCGAGAAGGCTCAGCCTCATTGCTCCACCAGCACGCTTGGCGTGGCAGGGAAAGGGACAGTGAAGACAGCGCTGCCACCACAGGCCCCTTGGAAACGCCCCATCGTCCCCCGACACCTGCGGGCCAGGTGCTTCATCACAGGGCTGTATGCACTTGACATCTGTGTGTACCTTTCATAACAATTTTGAATGTAGTGATCCTGAAGCTGTCCGGTTTTCCTCGTCGCACAGTACTTTGTCATTGTCTTTCAAGTCTGAGATGTTACATTTCTCATCATGGTGAAATTTGTTGTGGTTCCAGTTGCATAGGTTATGTCGTGCTGCAGGGGTCAGAGGGTTGTACAGAGTCAATCAGCTGTGGTTTCTCTCTTATAGCACAGGATATCCGACAAGATTCTGCTCGCCAAATGCCTGACAGTGTTGGGATGTGTTATCTTCATGTTTTTCCTCAATTCGTTTGTCCCTGGCATTCATCTCGATCTTGGTGAGTGTAATTCAGCTTTGTTCATAGGCGTTGTCACGTTCTGGATGGGAAGGTGGCAGAGCCTGTTCCTAGACAGTGACTTTGCCCACGGGCAGCCGGCGGGTGGGAGGCTAGAGAGGGCTGAGACGGAGGGTGGGCAGCCTGCCCTGGGAAGAAGGATGCCCTTTCCTTTTGGTTTCCTGGGCGGGGGGAAGGAAGAGAGAGAGATGCATCTGCAGCCCCTTAGACTCCGTGTCACAGGCCCTCGGCCCCTCCAGGGATGACCATGAAGAGGAATATGGAGTGGGCGCTGTCCTGTGTGTTGTGGTGAATAACCACATCTTCACATGGTTCCCAGGAGAGACAGGGAGCCCTATCAGCAAGGCCAGCGTTGCTCTTCGTCTGAGGGTGTGTCTGTCTGGTGCAGGAAACTGTCAGCCCACCATCCACCGCTGGTTTCTCTTCTCTCACTCTCACCACACCTGTGGCTCTCAGACGTCTCCACTTTCTCTAGCCTGTGTTGTGGCTAGGCCTGTCCCCACCTGAGATGTAGCTCTTTCAGGGGGAGCCTGTGGTACAGAGTTTGTGGACCCCTGCCATCCTCCACCTTCCATAAATGTTCTCCACTCTTCTAGACATTTCTTATCAATTTCACGGTTATCTCCATCGGTATCCTTATTGAAAACAAAACAAAACCCACCGCACATGGAAGTGTAGGCTTATAAGAAGCATACATTTGAGGTGGTGTCACAGTCTTTTCTTTAACCAAAGCTTTCCCATAGTTTTTGTTTAAGAGTCAGCTCTGATAAGATGGTTAAAATATCCAACTTTTATCATAATTTGTGTAAAACCTTGGTTTACTGTGAAATTTGAGGAGTACAGCTGCCGTAGAAAGTGAAGACTCCTAATTTTGTAAGATAGATGGATAATGCCACAAGCTTCAGTGATTCACGCCACACCATTGCTTCCGGGGTTCCTGGAAACCATGAGAAATTTGTAGACTAGAAGTCAGTTTCCCTTTTGTCTTATGTAAAAAAGCCACATTTCTAGATTCGCACACAGCACATGATGTGTGCTGCTGACTGGGGGTCCAGCCTGATGCTGTGTGTTCACAGCCTCTCTATTTCTTTCTCTTGATAATCTCTAATCCAGCTTGCCAGGTGGCCTGGGCTTAGTTCAAGCTGGTAGGTGTTATTTATCCACACCTGAGGGCTGATCCACTCAGAATCCTGATGAGGTAATGATACAGAGCTGGAGAGGTAACAGTGTTGTGATTTTCAGTTGTACTTGGTGGATTAAATCTAGAAATTGCTGCAGTGTAATTATTTTTAATTATACCTCAGGCCTAATGTAATTTTAACATCAGAAACTTTAATAATTACGAGAATGTTAGGTGGTCACCACTGGTAATTAAACAAATTTTAAAATCTGGTGTTTTGTGGATAGAGAGGTTCCATTAGGTGTTCACAGACAATTTTGCTCCTAATTTTATTTGAGAGCCTACTTTAGAAGAGCATAGCAGGCATTTTAAAAACTAAAAAGATATAAGAGCTTGCATTCTGTTTTATTAACATTTGGCAATAGTCTTTGTATTAAAAACAATAGTTTAAAACTTAAAGTCACATTTAACTATATGGACTTAAAAAGTCTTGGTTATAATGAGACTTTTAGCCTGGAAGTCTACATTTTTTACAAAATGTCTCATCTCCGTTGGTGTGGTTGTTACCTCTGTGAATGATGGACATATTTATTTTCTGTTTTTAAATCCTGTTTTCTTTTTATTTGGGGTTTCTGTATAGGTGATTTTATCTGGGGATCCAGATATTTGCATATTCATCAAGATAGGTTGACTAGGAGAAAAGTTTGATTGGGATATATTTTGATGGTATATAGTTTTCTTAGAGTTATAGGAACTTTTCTGACACGAACAGGGGCAAAATGGATACCAGATCATCCCGGACTTCAGCCAGTAGGAATGTGATCATTTATCTTTGGTGAAATTCTGTTTTTTTTAAATGTAACAGTGTATTTTTTAATTTTTTTGAGACAGTCTCACTCTATGCTCAGGCTGGAGTGCAGTGGCGCAGTCTCAGCTCAGTGCAGCCTCTGCCTCCCAGGCTCAAGCAGTTCTCATGCCCCAGCCTCCTGAGTAGCTTGAGGATTGCTTAAGCCTGGGAGGTGGAGGTCACAGTGAGCTGAGATGGCACCACTGCGCTCCAGCCTCGATGACAGAGCCAGACCCTGTTTCAGGGAAAAAGCAAAGCAAAACAAGCAAACAAAAAGCAAACTACTCCAGACACTTCTGAGTACACGGTTTTCTGTGAACTTAGGTTTTATTCTCTGGGTTGATTTCCTTCTCTTGAATAGCGCTGCTGTGTCATACGGTGGATGTAGATTTTGGTTTAAAAGAAACTGCTGCTCTGTTTTCTAGTGAGGCCATCCCCTTTGTGTTTCCACAGCATGCTTGGGGGTTCCAGCTGCCTCACACCCTTGTTGGCACGCGTTACAGGGAGAATTCCCCTGGAGTTCCACAGCACCCTGTACAAACCTTAAATGTATTCTCATGATTTCCTTCCTCCTCTGTCCGCTGACCTCCTGCTTCCTGGGTAGACTCAGTGGCACGGTCCGTGTGTCTGCATTTCCCTCCCCAGTGCCTCGTGCTAATGCCTGGCTCGTTAGTAAAAATAAGGTGTGGGTTTATAGGATGCACAAATAAGCTGCTTGTTGCTGCTCACAGATTCCAACTTAACTACGTGGAGGAAATTAGGTGCGTATTTCCTACGTGGCTGACCCAGCCTGGGTTCTCCAGAGAGCATAGCCTGAGGGAAAGGCTCATATGTGGGTTCTTTCTCCCAGGGACGAGGAGTGAGGGATGGGGGATGGGGGCTGAGCTGTGAGGAGAGCAGCGCAGGCACTGCTGCCCCTGCATGCTCGCCTTGCAGCTGGCCACCGGCACTCCACCCTGAGGGGCTGTCGAGTAGAGGTACTAAATGCACCTCAGGGCTGCCTGTGGGGTTGAGTGGGAGCAAGGAGAAATGTTGGCTGGGTGACGCCCATGCCTGTTGGTCACATCTCCTTCCCATGGGATGCTGGAGTCCGTGTGACCAGCTGCATGTGCCGAGGCCGTGCGGCTGCACCAACAGAGCGGCCCAGGCAGAGAAGGCGTTGGGCATGGGCTCCAGGGCTGACCTTCCGGGTGCATCTGTTTGAGGGTGATCGGGCCACACAGAGCTGGCTATGGTGACAGACAGGAGAGACCTAAGGAACCCAGGGGCGTACAGGAGGTGGCACAATGGCAAAGAAGGGTGAGTGAGGGCCAGGGTCACAGGTCACACCCATCCAGCAGAGAGGTGGCTCCCAATGTACAGGGACCAAGCCCAGCCTGGACGCCGGCTCCGTAGAGGTCCACAGCCCCTGCATGAAGCCCTTCGTGCTACCGATGTTTCGTAGAGGCCAAGGGACCGCTCTCCCCTTGGGCCTCTCGAGTTTCACTGAAAAACCATCTCACACATGGCAGAGTAATAGGAGAAAAGGCATACGCATTTATTTAGCCTGTGTACATGGAGCCTTCAGAATGAAGACCCAAAGATGCAGGAGAAATTGTCCATGTTAATGCTTAGGTTCAACCAAGCGTGGACAGCTGTGCAGAAATGGGACTGGAGAAAAAGTGTGTGACGAGGCACTGATGGACCGAGTGGGAAGCCCAGCAGGGCCTGTCTGTCCAGAGGCTTCCTGGCTCTCTGAGCAGCACTCCTTCCTTCTGGGTGTGGGGCAGACCCCTCTCTGGAGTGGGGGTCGCAGGACTTACCCTCAAACAAGGCAGGTCAGGCAGTTTCTTCATGGCCAGTTTTCACACAGAAAGGCAGAGAGAAAATTAGAATAACACTTTAGGTTTTGTGGCTGGCTTTGGAGAAAGGGGTTCTGGTTTCTATGCTCCTCCTTGGGAAAGAGGGATTCTAGTTTCCTTGCAGCCTCGGAGGAGAATGGGACTGAGAGACCAGAGGGCAGCAGGAGATCAGAGAAAACTTTTACTTCTGACAAAACAAAAACTTCAGCCAAGTTAAATTTAAAGGAATTTAACTAAACAATGAATGATTCGCGAATTGAGCAGCCCCCAGAATCACAGCAGATTCAGAGACTCCAGGGTGACCCATGGTCAGAACAAACTTACAGACAAAAAAGGTAAAGTGACATATGGGAATTGGCAGTGAGGCACAGAAACAGTGAGATCGGTCACAGCTCGGCGTTTGTCTTATTTGAACGCAGTTTGAACATTCAGCAGTCTATGAGTGTCTATAAGTATGGCAGCAGAGATTGGCCAACACTCAGCCATTTTTAGAGGTACACACTATTTTTTTTTTTTTTTTTTGAGATGGAGTCTTGTTCCCATCTCGAAGGCTGGAGTGCAGTGGCACGATCTCCTTTCACTGCAATGCCCACCTCCTGGGTCCAAGCGATTCTCCTTCTTCAGCCTCCAGAGTAGTAGCTGGGATTACAGGTGTGCACCGTCACGCCTGGCTAATTTATGTATTTTTAGTAGAGATGGGGTTTCACCATGTTGGCCAGGCTGGTCTTGAACTCCTGACCTTAGGTGATCCATCCGCCTTGGCCTCCCAAAGTGCTAGGATTACAGGTATGAGCCACTGTGCCCAGCCTAGAGATACATACTATTAAGTTAGGTTTTCAATTTTGACTTTTAAGTAGCTTACAGTTCATTCACAAGGACTCAGATACAGATGCATGGAGTCCTTCTCAGGCCATCTTCAGCTTGCTTCAACACTTCTGAGGCCTTCATTTTGGGGTATTGCTTTCTGAGCCCCAGAAGTTTCAAAATTCAGATTTTTTGTGTGTTTTAGAAAGATAATTCAATGAGCATGCTGAATGAATTTTGGGTATAAAGTCACACACCCGGAGAGGTTCAGGGTTAGCCCCTGTCATCTGAGCGTGACCACCACAGTGAAGTATGAATATTTACATGATGTGGGATAAATAAAGACTGCACATAACCTCATTTCTGTTCA